GTTTTCACCTAACATTGAATTTGAGTTTCACTATGGAAGATCAACTAAGGGAAGGACACAGAGTCTAAGAATGCAGTTAAGAGTGTGAAGGAGCTCAATGACCAGCAGAGATCTCTTCAACACAGTTGGGAAGGTACTAAGAACACAGAGATATACGGACCGTACTCCATGGCTAAGCAATGGCCTCTGGCTCGGAGTTCAGTAAGTGAAGAAAGATGGACACAACACTGCCTTCCTTGTGTAACTGACACAGATAAATGATTGGCTCATCGATCCTACAGGCCCTCACAGCTGTGTGGAGCAGCCAAGCCTGGCTATCACACACTTTCTTATACTTGGCTCTTCAGTTTCTTGATCTTCTCTCTTCTACTTATTCATTCTACCTAAGCTGTTTCGTTTCACCATCATACATCAGTGAGTAGCATTATCAATTACCCCTCTACAACTTCAAATTCATGCACTCTCCTTTCCAGTTACTTTGAATCTTATTAGGCCAACACTGACTGTGGACAGCCTTATTCTATTGGGTTATACTTGGGTAGCATCTTAATTAATTAGCTATTTTGTTCCATGGTCATCCATATATTCATTTTATCTATCCTGTGCTTTGTCATAGCAAAGTTTCTCAGCAAAACTATTATGGTTGGTTCACCTTTCTATAGATTCTCCATCTGGCTCAATGCAGCTTATAATGGGCAGAGAAAGGTTCACTCACTGGACTGGCCTCACTTTAAATTTATAACTACAAATTCCAAGAGGCTATTAAGGTTGCTTGGCAATCTCAGTATATACTGGCAATGTTTGGGAAATTTACAGTCTTGCTGGAAGAGTTGTGTCACTGGGGGTGTGGGCCTGCAGATTAAAAATTCTGGCCACTCCCAGTTCACTCTCTCTGCTTTGAGCTTCTGGTTGAAGATATGAGCTCTCAGTTTCTTGCTCAGGCCTGCCCATTGCTGCTATGATGGACTCTAATATCTCTGGAACCATAAGCCTTCTTTCATAAGTTGCTTTGTTCGTGGTATTTTATCACAGGAACAGAAAAGCAAAGGGGGAGTAGCAGGTTAAACAGTATGTTGCTTGTTGTTCAATAGGAAAACTGTCCTTTGTCTTAACTATGGAATGGCAGTATATTTTAGTATGTTAACAAATCTACTTGCTATGCTTGGACATACCTATTGGCAAATGTTAACTCAAAACAATGTCTAGTTGAAAAGCGAGTACCAGGCATGGAGATAACCTAGAACCCCTGCACAGATATAGCCCATGGCAGTTTAGTGTCCAAGTGGGTTACACAGTAATGGGAAGAGGGACTGCCTCTGACATAATCTGATTGGCCTGCTCTTTGATAACCTCCCCCTGAGGGGGGAGCAGCCTTACCAGGCCACAGAAGATGACAATGCAGCCACTCCTGATGTGATCTGATAGACTAAGATCAGAAGGAAGGAGAGGAGGACCTCCCCTATCAGTGGACTTGAGGAGGGGCATGTGTGAAGAAGGGGGAGGGAGGATGGGGAAGAAGGAGGGGGCTTATGGGGGGATACAAAGTGAATAAATTAATTAAATAAACATGTAATTAATAAAATTAAATTAAATTAAAAAAAGAAAAGCAAGTAAATCAATTACAGAAGTATTTTAAAAAGAGCTTTTGTCATCCTTATCACTTTGTGTCACTTAGGACAGTGAACTATCAAAGCTATCGTTTTGGTTTAACACAGTGACCCATGTCTTAGGCTAGCCTTGAGTTTCTGATCCTCCTTTTCCTACCTGCCCAGTATTGTGATTGCTGGCACTAGCTCTGTATAGTGATCTTAACAATACTGTGATACATGTCAAGTTTTCAGGCCTAGGCTCTAATATGAAAAATTTGAGTATATGTATGAACATTTTTTATAGACAAACTTAACAGTAAGTTCAAATTAATTACTGCAAATTTCAAATGACCTTCAGTTTTTCTTGCTATAAAAAATCTTTACATGTTATCAATAGTGCCTTTAGAAATTATGAAATTATACATTGTATCTCAAATATGATAGCAAGACATAACTATATATTCTCTGTTTTTAATTATAGGAAAAGTATAGACAACTATAAGGCTTGGCTTTATTGTTTTATAAATGAACCAGTAAAGTTCACGTTAGTGAAATGAGCACACACTTTTCATAAATTAAAATAAATCTCACATGGTAAAGTACTCATATTCAAAATTAATTTAATTACATGTTTAAAGTTTAATTACATTTAATTAAGCACTTAAGTTTAATATGAAATAAATGAATTATCAGTTAACTACTATAAAATGAAATACTGCCTTGGTAATTAAAATCTATAAATTTTCTTATTCTGTATATAACTGCTGGCTTTCAAAAAAAAAAAACATTCCAGCAATTATACATTTTAAAGACCATTTGATTATATCCTCACACTTCATCAAAGCAGTTTTTTTGGCCCCTCACCTTGGTGAGTTGCACATTTCCAAAACCATGGAGCTTTTACAAACATGGTTTTAGGTGTTACCTTATTGCAGTGGTCACTGCGACCCTTAAATACAGTTCCTCATGTTGTGGTGAGCCCCAACTATAAAATTATTTTTGCTGCTACTTCATAACTGTAATTTTGCTACTGTCATGAATCTTACTGTAAATATATGATATGCAGATTATCTAATATGCGACTCTTCCATAAAAAGGTCATTCAGCCCCCAGAGGGGTCATGACCCGCAGGTTAGGAACCATTGCCTTAGTGACTAGTGACTTATAGTTCGCAGCAGTAAATCTGCCTAGCATCTCTGACCCCGAGCTCCCATAAACTGTGATGATATTACTCAGCTTAGAGTGCTGCTGGTAGACCTGAATAAACATCGTTGTTGCACGCCTTTAATCCCAGCAATTGGGAAGCAGAGGTAGGCAGATCTCTTGAGTTCAAGGCTAGCCTGGTCTACAGAGTGAGTTCCAGGATAGCCTGGGCTACACAGGGAAACCCTGTCTCAAACAACAACAACAATAACAAAGACAAAACAACAACAGAATTGAATGAATAGGCTACAGTCAAATACCTGAACTGTCCCCCTCTTGAAAGAGGCATTAGACTAACATTACCTTCTTCCTCTATTTACCTGAATGAATAAATAAAAATCTCATATTTTCTGTTATAAATACATTTGTTCCTTAAACTAAATACATGTTTGAAATTTAAATTTTTTTTGTTTAGCTATACTACCCTTAATACATGCTTTATTTAATTTTTGTGGTGTTCGGTATTGAAATTGTGCTAGGCAAGCATTCTACAACCGGGCTATGGCCCCAGCTCATATTTCACATTTATATGGTAGACCATTCCATGAATAAAACAGTACAGAATTACTGCCAACACAGAATTCTGAGTTAGAAAGAAATAACTTTAAATGTAGGTATTATCACTTTTTGTGGACGTGTGTGTGTGTGTGTTTAGTTCAACTGGAAGTAAAAGATGGGAACTAATATAACGATTCAAAATTAACAGTAACAAAAGTAATATGGGCAAATAATGTAGTTTTATTTTTTAGCCTACAACACTTACACAAGGGTACTAATTTCCCTGAATTCAAGGGAGAATCCCAAGAACACAGGAGGATGAAAGCCAGTATCAGAACAATGTTTTCTTTCCTTTATTAGTACTCTTTTTTGTTTGCAACAAAACAATGAAAATGACAGACACTAAAACCTTCAAAAGGAATGAAGCACAAAGAACGAATCAAAACATGTTATTTCTAGTTCCACTACTCAGCCTAGACCCTGCTAGATCAGTATATGTCAGTATCTTCTGGAAAACAGAAATATTTGCCAAATACAGAATAACAGGAGGTAATAAACACAAATGTGTAAAAGTGTGTCTTTAGCATAGCCACTAAAACCAAAATAGCACCTCGGTGCCATTTTATGTCTCTACAATTGACTAGGCAACCCATTCACAGAGTGAAAAAGTTGAATAGTATTGAATAAATTCTTAGATAGAGACTAAAGACATTCAAGTCATTCAATTTTACAATCTCCCATCTATAAACTCTCTCAACAATTTTCTCTGAAAATAATTTGATAGTGCTAAAGAAAACAGAGGCTACAATCTATTCAGTAGCTTACTGTGGTAAGAACTGAAAGCAAGTTTTCTTAATATCTAAACATTATTTAATATCAAGTCTGTAACTTTCAGAATTCTGCTTTGTTAAATTTTTGGCACTATAAACAGGTTAGAAAAGAAGATTTCATTGCAGAATTCTAACTCCAAGTTATCTTTCCACCTAAAATTAGAGACTTTTATTTATAGCACCACTAAAAGTACAATGTCATAATATGAATGTAGTATTAAAAAACATAAGGCGAGAAATGTAGTTTGGTTGTCAATAGGCCTTAAAAAGCACTGAATTCAAGCCCCAGTACTGCATAAAACCATATAGTGGTAAAGTAGCATATAGCAGTCACCCCAGCATTCTGCAGGTAGAGCTAGGAGAACTAGGAATTTCAAGGTCACAACTGGGTACACAGTTTGAGTTCAGCCAGGACTCAATAAGAAAGGAGGAAAGGGAAGAAAAGTAAAAACATACTGGCTTACCCTTTATAAGATCATTCTCTAAAAGATATTAGCAAGGAACAGTGCTTTGTACATTTCCCCAGAATATGTCAAAGAAATATCAAATAATTTATGAGACATTTATTTGCATTTTGGATTGAAGTCCTGATTTAGAATTGTTTCACATTTCCTGGAAAGTAAAATCAAATGGAATTGAAACTGCTTGGTATCCAGACCTACCACATTACAAATCACAACAATAAGTAGTACAGAACCAGAAATAAAAAAAAAAGAACATATAATAAGATATTACAAAATACAAATGTAATTTGTTAAATATTTGTAGAAAACCAGCATTATTGGGATATACCTTTGCATATGCATTTCTCAAAACTGAGGTAAAAATGCAATCTACTGATTTTGAAATTAGAATTTTCTGTTATACAACAAAGACTTACCAAGATTCTTCTTTAAGATCTGAAGACATGTGTTCTGGAAGAAAGAATCCATGCCATTTGGAACCTTCTAGTAGCTCCTGAGGAATCCTTTTTGATACATCATAATAGTGACCAAATCGTGAAGATGACACTGGTCCGACCTGCTAAAAATTATCCTGGTTATTAAAATAACATTATATTATAATTTGTTTATCCTTCATCAAGCAAAGTAATGACATATTTATATACACTAATGTTAATGGTGAAAGGCTGATAAAAATATACTTACTAAAATTAAGGATCCATAAATAGGCTTTTTTAGCCAAACTACATAAGAAAGGAATTAAACTTTCTACTATCAAATTTTTCTCACTGTTAATTATTCCTAAGTTTATAATAATTCTGTTTCTCCCATTTTAAAAACTATTCAGTACATTTCTTTTTCTAAGTTAAAATTTAATATACATAACCCTTAATTCACAGATAATAGATCAAATTTTAATGACAAATTGAATAAGGAGAAGCTAAGAACTAAATGAAGTTAAGCCAAATTAATTCATTGTCTGAAAGCCCCCAAAGAAATCAAGTATTTAAATGTGTTAAACTGAGCATCATATTAAAACTATTATATCATATTACAACTAAATGCTCACAGGATAGTATGTACACTTGTAGAATATTTCTTATAAATGGAAATGAAGCTGATGATGTAAAATGTACCAGAGTTCAAACAGAATGAAGACATGTGAGAGTGAAAGGATGCATAGAAACTACGTGAGATCAGTGGAAACTTGGCATGATCATGTTCATGGTTTGACATTTTTTGTTAACAGTTTCTTCAAGAAACCATCTTTCTCTTAGGAAACCACTGGCTATGGGCATTTAATTTACATATGTGAGTCAAAATCTATTAACTATTGTTCTGAATGGACTCTTGACTGATTTTAATGAACGCATCCTCTATCCCCAAACCCTTCTACATAAATTGGTTAAACTATTAAAAAATTCCACCTGGCGACAGCTGGTAAAAGCTCTGATATGAACTTTACTGAGCATTCCTGAGTGCTGAGAAGCTGGCAAACCTGAGGACGCTCCTCACAGCTACAGTGTCTGATGAAATGGGAGAATTCAGGGTACAGCCTTTTCTTACAGAGTGACAGTTTTTTTATTTAGTTAAACATAAGTTTGCTCGACACTAGCTATTTACATTTATGATTTCAATGATTCATATTCTGAAATTAAATACCTATAAACATCAAATTATACAGTCACATGAAATAAAACATCTTGAAGTCTAAAAGAAGCATTTTTTTCATGAATCGAGTCTGTGGGTGTGACATTTAATTTCTAACCAAAAAGAATGTGTATCTCTCCATAAGGTACTATTTATTTTCATTAATGAAAGACACTTATTAGTTGGCTTAAATCTAATCTTTTCAACGCAATAACAGTATGTGCAGAATTATAGCTCCTAAGGCACAAATTCTCCATTTATTATGAAAAGTATTGACAAATAAGTAATATGACATTAAAATAGGCTTCTTAAAAATACGGTGTAAAGGTTTTTAAATGTAAAGTTATTAGTCTAAAGCAATTTAAACAAGGTCTGTTCTTTGGCCTATAATTGATTCTTTATCCGGATTACAGTTCAGAATGTTTTTACTGCAATCTCTGCGAGAGCTCATCTTTTTATTGTGTAAGTCCAAGCCCTCTTAATGTTTCAGAAAGGCCTTGACTAACTGAACTTTGATCTGATGTCTTCATTGAGAAAAACACCAGGTTGCCCATTTCAGATGCAAATCCCCCTAAGGCCCAATAGAATTTAGTAAAGACAGCAAAAAAGAAAAAAAACAGAAGTTTCCAGGATCCTCTTTGAGAATCCTGGGGCACACTGGTGTCCTTAATCCATGCTACTGCATGGATTAAGGTAGGTGATAACCTTTCCTGATTCAAAAGAATAAGCTGAGTGCCTACAAACTGGGTGGAGACTAGGATTTGGCTATAATAAAACACCATGCAATAAAAGCTTGGTCTATGTCAGAAGCCTCTGAAAAGGCCTCAATGTACCACATTCCCAGGCCTAGTAGGGAAGCTTGCAAAAGCCTACCTGAATCAAATAAGCATGAATAATCTATTTTAGCAGACTGACCATGGGGAGAGAGAAAGAAAGAGAGACTTTTCACTTCTTTTAAGTTTGAGTTAATAAATTTATTAGTGGATTGAAGGTTCTTGAAGTCCCATGCACTCACAGAAATACACCAAATTACCAAAAAGCAAGGTATGCTTTTTAAGTTGCCGTCACTATTAATGTTTTTAATTATAATATTAGTGTGACAGAATTCCCAGATTTTGGATGAATCAAGGCAGAAAATTGATTTCATGCTGTGACAGTTTACATACAGAACACAAAAATTCATTAAAATGTAAAAATAAAACTGGAAACTATTCTCACTTTTATTATTATTAACTTATTTAGGTGTTAATATCACATATGACAGCAAAACTATTGATTGATATGGCAGACACAAAGTTTTCTTTCCTTTTCAATGACTTCAATCTTTCAACAAAAGGAAAGCAAAACAATATATTATTATAGAATAAGAAATTTTACAAATTTTATTATCTAAGATACACAGTATTAGCATAGAGTCAGATTTCTGAAATACTGAAATCTTTTGAGACCTAGCAATTTCCTCTGAAAAATGAAAGCTCAATGCTGTTACTGTAAGTGTTTACCTATAAAATCTCATTGTCATAAAAATTAAATTGCATTTTTTATCAACCTATCATGAAAAAGCCATGCATTTGTTCCACATGCTATACACATGTTGCTGTAATTTTAATATGACAACTTCTGTTGCACTTCCACGAACTTCATTTAAATTTAACATCTGTGGAATAGAGAAAAATAGAAGTAAGTTTTTAATGGGATAATAAATGATATGTGATGGGAACTGAGGCGAAGAGTAGAGCAACAAAACAAGAGTACACTCCACCACCACCACACTCTATCTCCAGTGTGTCAGAAAGCAACAAAGTGCAGAGGAAGCAGCTGCAGCACAAATATCTAATGAGATAATACCTTGCCACTGTTAACAAGTCTTGTTTCTGAGTCTGTATTTCAGACAGCAAGAATCCAATCACTCACTAGGCCACACAGAGCCTCAGCTCAGTCATTAGAACTGGGTTAATCATGACTTTATTATACTCTTGAAATAATCTGTGCAATATTGGCAATTAATGCTTTATAAATTTGAACATAATATAGATATGATTATTACTAAGTTATGATTTTTTAGAGAATCAGAAAATTTATCATTGTCCTTTGTAACTACACTGCCTTACAGAAAAAAAAGTTTGTTGCACACTGACACATTCACATATCTACCAGAACTGTTGTGTAGCTAAACCACTAATTATATAGCAAAAATCTGATATGCTGCCATGAATTACTGGAGCCTGACACTGGAGTCCTACAATTCTCAAACGAAATCCAGAAAGCACTGCAAGCTAGCAATCTGTAGGTGTGTACTGACAAGCATGGAGAGGGAAGGTTGACCATGATAGAAAATCTAAATTAGTGAGATGAGAAGGAGTCTATGTGTTCTAAACTTAACCTATACATCCTCGGGTCTGAGTGAAGCATTCACATGTTGCCTAGCACCTATCTCTATACTCACTTCTCGTCTACTCACTTTCCCTGAGTCGACTAGAACTATTCCTGTAAGGCTTGGTAACAACTTATATTAAAGGGCATCTCTGATAATCAACAGGGCTCTTGTGGACTACTTCTACTTCTTTACTCTTAAACCATAATAATGAAACTGCATTTTGTTCAAGGACACATAGAAAGCTCAATGTTTTTGCTTCATGTTCAAACTGGGAATTACAAAGTAATGCCTAGACTTATAAAAAAGATGACGACATGTGCTGGCCAGTATCATTGCTATGTGTTAATCACTGAACATAAAATTACTGTGATGGGCAAAAAGAAATGCAAAGAAGCCAGACATGATTCTTACTTCTAAAACTAGAAGCATACACTTGTAAGTAGAAGTAAACAAATTTGAGCCATGATAATAAAATAAAAAGTGATTACTTGTTGTCGTATTAATGATTGCAATTTAAGTTAACATTTAATTAGCTCAGTAATTCATTTTCTAGAACACATATCACATGCCAATAAACCAAAATATTCTCTTTCTCTTCCTGAGCTCACAGACCTAAAATAGGTACAAGCAGTGAAATGGACATATGATTTCCTACTTTAGATCAGGTCTTCAAGAAAAGAAAGCAGTGAAAGACAAAGTAATAGTTTGTGCAGAGTGAAAAAGGAAGTCACTGTAGATAATAAAGTATCTCAGCAACCCCCCAGGAAAAACAAGACAGTGAATAAACGGAAGAATACCATTTAAATTACAGTTTACAAAGGAATAATGGAATCCCATGTAAGATGGTGGCTTTGCCTTTGTGAGCTCTCTTGAAGTATAAGTTAGGATAAAACGGGCTAGGAACATGACTCAATCATGCTACATAAGCATGAGGATCTGAGTAAAGATTTGCAATACCCATGTAAAAACCTAGAAATGGTAGTATGCATCTGTAATCCTATCTTGGGGGTAGGTGGACAGAGACTGGCATTTCAATGATGTTCATTGGCCAGCTAGCCAGTGTGTTCCAGGTTCAGTAACAGACACTGTCTCAAAAATTAAAGTGGAAACAAGTGAAAAAGGATATCTGGTATTGGGCTGGACTATAGCTCAGTGATAGATGCTTGCCTAGCGAGTACAAGGCCTTAAGTTCAATTCTCAGCACTGTAAAACAACAACAGACACTTGACATCAATCCAGGCCTCCACATGTGTACACACACACAAAGTCAGGATAGGAAAAAACCAATTCTATCATAACAGAAGATGAGTCAAAGAACATTATAGATTTATAAAACAGAGTGTGAGGAGAAATGAGAAGTGTGGAGAAAAGGAAGGATGACATAAGCACAAGAGAGTAACAAAATTCCCAGAGAATTTTGAGGAAACCTATAGGGAAAGCAGCCATTGGCATCCAGCCATACCCCCTGGGTCCAAGGTAGATATGGGGCAAACGATAACTGTACTTCATTCAGGCAGAGTGCTACAGAACCTGGTAGCCAGGGAAAGGCT